GTACCAATGGGTAACCCCTAATCCGTTCAGATTCTGATTTTTCCTAATTGCCATGCGGTAAGAGAAATACTGTTTTGCCTGAATATCAACAGATTATCCTCAAACCACAAGTACTGTAGAATAACTGTTGTATTTTAGTGGAAATGCTATTAAATTTTCAGATTTATAAGATTCAGACATTGCAAATCTTATAATGTCTCAATCTTAGCAGACTGCATTTTGTATTTGCTAGGAGACATTTGTCCATTCCTAACCTTTTTACCTTCAGAAAGCAAATGAAACAAGTGATTTTGAAATTGAATCAATCTTGACTGAAAAAGAAATAACAAAAATAGCTAATGTCTTTATCATCGCCATAGCAAGCCTACAGGGCAGATACTGTTGCTGTTTCTGTTAGGTAAGATGCATTATATCTTGCTAATCCTCAATAAATATGAAAAAGTGATCATTTCACAGCTAAGAGTTGACAAAACGGAACACATTTCTCATCTGAATAGACAAGATAAGCAGCTTTCCAGCAATGCTGCTGTAGCCGTCTTGAGTGTGCTGTGTCCCAGGCAGACGCTGTTGGTTCATTCTTAGGTCACTGCTATTCATTTCTGTGTGTCTATTCCTAGACCAGAAGCCCTGGTGGTGCAGTGGTTAAGCACTTGGCTGCTAGCCAAAGGTTGGCAATTTGAACCCACCAGCCGCTCCATGGGAGAAAGATGTGGCAGTCTGCTTCTGTAAAGATTTTATAGCCTTGGAAACCCTATGGGGCAGTTCTACTCTTTCCTGTAGGGTCACTGTGAGTCAGAATTGACTCGAAGGCAATGGGTTTTGTTGATTCCTGGACTGGAGCTCAGATTCACCTTCCAGACAGTCTCCTGTCTTAAGGACCATTCTGCCACCTCCCGTGACATCATTATTTAAAGAAATGGGTTACTCCCCAATTAAACCATTCCAGGTATAAATGTCTTGCCTGGAGAGAGAGTTGAGAAATGAATGGGATTTGTGAATATAAATCAGGCTTCCTTACACTTAAGTTTTCATTTTCAAAATTGTGGAGTGTTTGCTCCACACATAAATCCTTTTTTGCCATAAGTGTGTTCACTGTGGGAACCCCAGTGCAGAGCTGATAGCCCATTGCCATGCATAACTGAATATTAAAGTTCACAAATCATCAGGCAGAGGAGGCCGGGAAGGGAGCGCTGCTGTGTGGCTGCATCTGTGCTTTCAACAAAGATGAATGACAAGCTCATGGGCACCGAGCCTTTATTAGGTTGAAGCCGCCCAGCCTCCTCACTCTTTTCCTCCCCTTGATTTTGCTTCTTCTCCCTTCCAAGGCCATCTGTTCTCTGAGTACCTTAACAGCTCTATTATCATAAGACGTATTTTCCCTTCTCCCCAGTTTTGCTTTAGAGGCTGGTGACAATAAATGAATCTCTCGTAGGCCACCTCAATGTATTTTGAACAAGATGATTCTGTGAAAGGATGGAAGGATTAGATAAGCAAATGTATAAATGATCTTCAGACACAAGGCCACCCCACCTTGCTTGCTTTCTCCTCCCGTCCCCTCCGCTCCCCCTCCCCTTTTCGTCTGTTTCTTTATATATGGCGGCTGTGTATATTCTGCAGAAGGTCCATTGAGGCCAGTTGACCTTTCAGCAAATGATCAAATATGGCTCAGAATTTTAAGACGTTTCTTTCATTTTCAGCATGTGTTTAGACCCTTCATCCAGAAATAAGGCTCTATTATGTGTGCAATTATGTGGACTCGGAGTGAGTTCACATTGCCTGTCCTTGGCTGTAGAACTCAATGGTAAGGAAGACTGTTGGCTGGAAGTTTTCGACAGTCATACCAAGTTATTTTCTCATGTATGTAACTACTCATGCAACAAAATATTTGATTGGCTTGGAATAATATTATAATAAAATAGTAAAATAGCAATAGAATTTTTCAGTGCTAATGAATATATGAATTACAGCAAAAGATCTGGAAAATGAGGAACAATAGAAAACTTTTTTTCTTTTGTATTTAATATTAAAATAAGTTTCTCTCAAGGGCCTCTGCAGATGAGGCATTCTGGGAGTTAGTGACAACAATGACGGCCTCAGTAGCATTTCTCCTTCCCATATCTGATGGCTTTTCGCTATTGCATAAACTGTAAACACTTCAGGTGTGAAACCTGTGCAGCCAGTGTTATTAGGATCTTAAAATAGACCTGCTGAGCCGATTCAAGGAAAGCTTTGACTGTGTACTTTGTCCATAAATGTAGCTGGAGGTCAGGTAGCTGGTAACCTTAATTGTATTCTTAATATGTGGTGTCTTTCAAATACCTTAAAGTAACTCGATAAGCTAAAACCACCGTAAAAAAGAATTAGAGTGAGTAATGTGAACATAAAAAACAGGACACCTAATGAAGGTCAAACCAAAAGCAAACCCGTTGCCGACGTGCTCCAGCCACCATCTGCAGGCTCAGGTCAGGCCTTCCAACCTGGCCGCTCCCAGCCTTGCTCTCTCAGGTCAGGCCTTCCA